ATTATTTGGGACTTGTAACGAGACTTGGTGTTGACGACTTTCCCATCTCCCCCCTCCTCTTCTTCGTCTGATCCCCTCCTCTTCGTCTGTGCATGTCTACCTGGCGCCTCCTTCCTGTGTATACCGCCAGGCCCCTTCACACCTTGTGATGAGCATGATGTATGTTTGGTCTGCGTTGCATCATTGATTGGGCTAGTCATTGGCATTCTAGCATTCCGCTGCGCTGTCTTGCACTATGTGGTAGAGGTCAGTCCCGGTCAGGTCAGGACTGGTATCTAAATCTTCCACTGCGCTATAAAACACCATCTTTGTATGTATCAGGATGTACACTGCTTGTTGAGATTTCACTAGCACTGCAGACTTGTAATAAGGAGGGAGCAGGCCAGCTATATATGGTGTAGCTTCAAATTCAGGTCCGTGTTTCAGCAGTTATGGGTTACTGACTTACTAACTCGACATGTGATTTTCAGGGCTTCACTCCACTACTCAACAAATGTGCAGAACTAGAATGAATCTTCTCCTAGAAACTGGATCCATACAAGCCCTACATTTTTATTTTCTGCAAATGCTGATGAGGGGAGTGAGGCCCTTAGGGCCACTGCACGCACGTAAGAAAAGGAAAAACAAAAAAACGAGACAGCTACTGTATGTGCAAAACTAGAATGAATCTTCTCCTAGAAACTGGAACCATACAAGCCATCCGTTTTTCTTTTCTGCAAGTGCTGATGAGTGGAGTGAGGCCCTTAGGGCCACTGCACGTAAGAAAAGGGGGAAAAAAAAACGAGACAACTACTGGAGTGTTTGTAGTAAGTTTGTGACCCATAACTCTTGGAACACAGATCTGAATCCGAATCCAGGATATATTGCTGGCCTACTCGAGGTCTTCCAGCAGTCCAATGGACATGCTTCCAAAATCACAGAAACCCTGCTAATTACTTGCAGGGTACTTTTTGGAAAGGAGAATATAACCAATGAGTAGTATGAAGAGGCCCCAAAATATTCTTTTTCTGTGCTCTTACCCTCTTTAAAAGGGAGGAACACTTATGAGTACCACGACCTACCCTTTCTGATTTCTTTTTTTTATTATTTTCTAAATGCGCCGCATCACGTGTGCGCATGCGCTGTGCGGCGCACGTGCACAACTTGCGCGCACGTGATGCACTGCATGTATGGTCCAAAGACTTTCAAAAGTTTCGATGGCATTCACATTCACGCGAAACAGCATCACAAATACACAAATAATTTAAGTAAACAAATTAATGAGAATCTAGGCCACCAGAGTGGCCCTGGACCACTTGCCCGGCGGGGGCCCAAAAAAAAAAAAAAAAAAAAAAAAAGGTAAACACTTTTGACGTGCCCTGAGGCAAAAGTTTTTCAGTTTATTTTCTGCATAACATACTTTTTTTTCAGAATTTTTATCTTTTTGTTTATTTTGCTGGGACCTTCTTTGGCCCTTGCACAGCCTGGCCGCCCGAGCAAACAAGGTGACCAGGGCAGCCCGGTTGGTGGCCTAAATTAAAATAAGTAAACAAATTAATAAATCAAAACGACATTATCTCACAAGAAACAGCATTGCCAGGATTGAGCCCTCACGGGGCCCTTATGGACATGGAAGTGTTCTGGGCTGTGGGCCCCAGCAAGCATTGTGCCCGCCCTAAGTGAAGGCGGGCACGAATATCCACGTGAGGTCTATGTTCGACATTTTTCCATATGTGGGGTATCAGACAGTTGCAGCACGCCAGTTGGTTACAAAGCAATGTGAGCCTTTGCTGGCTCCTTCCAGAACCAACAGCTGCGCTGAACAGTTGAGCCCAGGCCCCCGGTTGGTTGCGCCCTGGGCACACACATTGGGAGGCCGACACCTCACACACTGGCCGCGGACGAATGAGAAAGCAGCATTGTCGTCACACAACCTACAAGGTCCAATGACAATGCAGCAAACACTTGGAGCCTGGACGGCTGCCTGGACGCGCCCAACTGTAAAGGGCCCAGGCCCGTAACAGCAGAGGCGGGCCTGGGCGCAGATACTGGGGCCCGACTGGAAGCTACTGGAAACTTCCCCAGCCAGGCACACACAGCCAGACACAGGGCCGCACTTCCATAGAGGAGAGTGCCCTGCCCAGGCGAGGGCATTCGGGCCTTGGCAGGCAATGCGGACACGTTGCTGCGTTGCTGGGCTAGTGCCTGCATGGGCGCTGCTTGCCGGACGCGCGCACGGGCGCAGTGGTGAGAGGGGCTCCGTTGAGGCAGCGGCCGCACAGCAGCCATAGCCGGGCAGCTGGGGCACAGGCCGGTGATGGCGATGGTGGTCTTCGGGTAGGAGGCGCATGAGGTGGGGAGACAAAAGGTGATGAGGGGAGAAGAGAGAACGTACCTGGTGTATGCTGGTGGTCTGCATTGGTGATGACGTCACGTACATTGGTCTTCGACTTCAGTGTGATCCAGTTGCACAAACGTAGATAGGTGTAGATAGGCTGAGTAGTGTAGGCTGGGCGCTGGGTGCCATACAGTAGGAGGGACATTGGATACTGTGATGATGTGACCAGAGAGCGTCAACACTGGCATACGAGTTCATTGTACTGGTCTTATTTGGATGGAATCTTGGTGCATTGTGCTCTCTGCTTGGTACATGACTATCTGGGCTACTTCATGATTTTGCAACTTGGATTTCTGTCTATCGCTCTTGAAAAAAAAAAAAAAGACCAGGGTAACCACTTAGAGGTCCACTTACTACGACACGATCGTCGGAGGACCCATCTCAGTGGACATCGCACAAGAAACGGGAAAAAGCGGCGGGCTCATGCAAGGGTCCCTCTCGTATTCCGGAAGCACATCAAGCTGCTGGCCGATTGCCAGGAACACGTCAACTGCTCAGCGCACAACAACACCGACAGGTGAGCAAGAAAGTCAACGACAAAGTCAACAACACCAAACAGGTCAACAATCCGGCTGAGCAGAACACGCCCGGTTCATACAAGGGCCTTGCTCTCGTCATCTGGACGTTCATCAAACTACTGGCCAATCCCCATCGCCACGAACACATCAACTGCTCCACAAGCCCAACAGGTCAACAACAAAGTCAACAACAACAAACTTGAACAAAGTCCACAACAACAAAGTCAACAGTACAACAAGGCAGCAAAAACAAAAAAGAAAAAAAAGTGCCTGCGCGATCAGGAGATGAGGACATGTCCAGATTGTTGGATGTCATCTTTCAAATTAACCTGGAAGCCTCAACCAGTATCGAGCTTAACCTCCCTGATGAGAGGGAGCATCCGATCGTATCCGAGGTGATCGACCAGGTTGACGGAGGCGGATCGAAAGGTTACAACAGCCGAGAGTCCACGAGAGGGAATTTCTTTCGTGATTATAGATTACAATCGATTTTATGGGATCCTTGTGCTCTCAGATTATGCTATGATGATGTACATAGCTTGATCGCACTCACTGATGTACTTTCATATCCGTCTGCTTTGGTCTGTCTATTCTTACGCAGTTTTCAAAATAAACATCATGCATTTCATTGTTATAAGATAAGGGGGGGGTTGGGGGGGAAGGGGAGGAACAACAAGAAAGTCAACAAGAAAGTCAACAAGAAATTCAAAACAAGAAAAGTTGACAACAAATCCAACAACAAGTCAAAACAAGAAAAGTGAACAAGGAAGTCGAGACAGGAAAGTTTTTTTAAGTTTTTAAAACAAGAAAAGGCAACAAGAAAGTCAACAACCAGGTCAACATCAGGACACTGATCAAATAGGTCAACAAGCGCTGAGCGAGGATCTAGCATCGCTAACAACATCAGCAATCACAACACCATCAGCATATGATGACTGCCAGCTGTCAGCACATCATTGGCTACCAGCAATCAGCATATGTCATGAACCAGTCAGCTCAGCATCGCACAGGTGCGGGTGACCAGAGGTCAAGAAGGCCCCGTACTGATCAACTGGGGCTATTTTGACCCAGCGGCACTTGGTCAAATCAGGAATCCTAGTTGGCCACTTGGTCAAATCATGCCCCAGTTGACCACTTGGTCACATCATGCCCCAGTTGACCACTTGGTCAAATCATGCCCCAGTTGACCAATTGGTCAAATCATGCCCCAGTTGACCACTTGGTCAAAGCATGCCCTTGTCGACAACTTGGTCAAATCATGCCTTTCTTGGACAGCTCGGTCGAACCGAGCCCTTGTGGACCACTTGGGACATGTCGACCACTTTGTCCACTGGGACTAGAGATCAACAACATGTCGACCGCCATACTCAGCAAAGTGACAAGCTTCCGAACGGTCACAAGAAAAGGGAAAACGAAAAATAAAAACACGGGCCACAGAAAGATCAACTCGACCAGCCCCAGTCAACGCTGAGTTGAAAGATGAAGCAGGGGTAGTCGGGGCGGGGGCGCAAGACTGAAAAGGTTTAGTGCTTAGGGTATAGGGTATAGGGAATAGGTCTTAGGGGATTACGGTTTAGGCCCTTTAGGGGAAAGAGCTTCTGATTTAGGGTGTAGGGTTTACAGTACAGTGGTGTGCACCGGTGCGGGTTATTGGGGCCTAGAAGGGTTAGGAACTTAGGACATATTGTTTTGGGTTGCACAATGTATAGGATGGGTGGCATTGGCAGTTTTTTTTTTTCTTTTCTATTTTTTCTTTTTTTTTAAATTCCATTCGATTTATGTGTGTCATCCTTGCGCAGGGGCCATGCTAATCTTCTCTGTATCGTTCCAATTTTAACATACTTCCGGAAGGATGGATGGCATTGGCAGTTTTAGGCACAGGGTGAAGGGTGACATGAGCATGGTCCAGAATTCACGGCTTAGGGTATAGGGTATCGAGGATAGGGTTTAGGGTTTAGGACCTAACATATGGTACTTAGGGTGCAGTGGTGGAGGGTATAGGCCCCTATAAGGCATAGGTGCAAAGTTGCAAACGTTTTAGGCTATATGGTGCATACGATGGAGGGTATATAAGGTTGGAGGCATAGGATAAAAGGGTGTCGGAAACAGGGGGTGCAAGACAGTGGTATCAGTGAACTGCACACAGAGTGGGGCGTGGAGTACTACGTATCGGACTGCACTTGTGAGGACCTCAGGGCATGCACGTACGGACACAGCAGAACCGGATAATGAAGTCTTCTGTGCAAATCAATCGAAGGCACAGAAATCTTTTTTCTGAGTCTGAAGAGAAAGAGAAGTCAGAAGGGGCCTTACGACATGAAATGCTCGAAAGTTTGAGTCATAATCAGGGCTGCATCCCTGCCGACAGCCGACCGTATTGCAGCCGACCAGTGGGCCAACCGGTCGGCGGCCTGCCGACCAGTCAGAAAACAACCATCCACTGATTTTTTTTCAAATACGAGTTGGGGGCTGTACCGCACTTGCTGAGTACAGCCCAAATCCGCTGAGAAACTTTTGGGGATGGGGGGGTTGGGGTTGGAGTATAGGGGGGTATAGGGGAGGTATAGGGGGGTATAGGGGTGATATAGGGGTTATTGGGGGGGTAATGAGGGTGTTGGGGGCGGTTTGGGAGTGTTTGGGGGGTGTATGGGGGTATTGGGGGGCGCTATGGTGGTGTTGGTGGTGTTATTAGGGGATCTGGACCCCAAAAAAAAAAAAAAAGTTCGTCATATATATATACTTTTTTTTTTTTTTTTTTTGCGGGGCGCCGCAGACCCCCGACCCCCGACCGGTTGCTTCCCACCAGCCGATCGGTCAGCGGGTCGGCAGCCGACCAGTCGGGCCGCCGACCGTCGGCGGGTGCAACCCTGGTCATAATCATGCTATTGTGTGCCACACTAACAGTGCTCACTGAACCACGGAAGAACAATAGCTGTATCCGGCCCAAAAGCAACATCAAATATGCATTCAAAGGGGGGGTGTTAAAGAAGAAACGTTCTGACGGACAGAAACAGACAGGAGCCCTCTCTGAAAGAGAGACAGAGAGAGGGAGAGAGAGAGAGAGAGAGAGAGAGAGAGAGAGAGAGAGAGAGAGAGAGAGAGAGAGAGAGAGAGAGAGNAGAGAGAGAGAGAGAGAGAGAGAGAGAGAGAGAGAGAGAGAGAGAGAGAGAGAGAGAGAGAGATTCACCAGGAAAAAAGAGAACTACAGCAAGAAGGGAGGGCAAAGGGAGTGGGAGGAGGGAAAGTGGGAGCGGGAGTGGGAGCGGGAGTGGGAGGGATGCAGAATCCGGGCAAGTTACGGAAAGGAGGTAAAGACGAGGGAGTGTGGAGAGGGTTTGAAGGGAGAGGAGGATTCACCATTAGAGGGTAAGGTGTCTTCTGTCACTAGAAATGAAAGGACAGAGAAGGAGATAGGGGAAAGGGGGAGGGATCTTGCGGTCGGAAGAGTAATGCAAAGGCGGTAGGAAATTCCAGGTTCGCTTATGGTAGTGCAGGGCCAAGCAGAGAGAGTGTTCAGAGGCTTTGGAGGTAGAGAAGGATTCACAATCAGACGGTAAGGTCAGCGAGAGTGTTGAGAGGCTTTGGAGGTAGAGAAGGAATCACCATCAGAGGGTAAGGTATCCCCATTCATGGGGAATTGGCCGTATATCTCGACGCCATTCACAATGGCCACCCTACTCTTGGATGACGAGTTGGGCCGCAAGAGGACCGTGATGTTTCTCGCCTCCACTTGTCCAGGAAGCACAGCCATGAAATAGTCATGTGTGAAAGTGTCGATCGTTGCATTGGTTGACAGATCACTTGCATGCTGAGTCAGCAGCTGACTCGACAGCTGAGTTGGCGGGGACCACACGGTAACTATCACGTCGATTACCCGATCACCTAGCGCTGCAATCGTCTCCGACGAGAAGCCCTCTGAGAAATACAGTATTACGAGATACTGTCGAGCAGGTGCAAGAGGAAACTGATAAGCAATTGTTCCCTCTTCAAGTCCTCTCCGACGGGTGCAAACGACGTCGGCGCTCATCCAGCCAAACTCGAATAGCAGATTGCTGAAGAATTCGCTTCCGTCACTTTCATTTTTAGAAAGGCAGAGGTCGTCCGACTCAGCAATGGTAGAGGGGGAATTCTCTACTTGATTGTGTTCATACGCCGTTACTGACAAATATCCGTCGTCAGGTTCCCATCCGAAGAGCTGGGTGGCGTTCTCGGTGACCTTGCCTCCTCCACAATTAACTCTTTCCTGCAGTTCTAAAGCTGTGTCTATGCCGAGATTTAAGTCGGCGGTCTTCATGATGGCCAGCGACTCAAGAAGTTGCAGTATCTCTATGGAGTTGACACGTGGCTCCCCTCTGCCAATCGACATAAAGCCTATCCAGATGTTGGAGTCATTAACATACACAGAAAACTCCTTCTTTAGAGACACTATTCCAGACTCGCTCACATGACGGGGCTCTGCAGACGGAACTTGACCCACTGGCGCACCGTTTAGCGTCAGATTGAACACTGGCACGATATCCCCACTGAGGAATCCGAAACAGAGTCGAACACTGTAAAACCTTCCGGGGATGACCGTTAAGTTGTAGAAACCGCTGAGTGGCAGTCGAGGCCCAAGTCCAGGTGACATGGGCCCCTCAGCAAAAGGGACCGATCCATTAAATACCCTCGCTGTCAGGTATGTCTGGTCGAAATCATGTTGCCCATTGTGTGTAGATGACTCGGAATGATTATGCATTAGGTTCGAACTAGTGCCACCAATATAGCCCCAGTCTGATGCCCATGTTCGCCCATACGCATCATTAATTACCTCGCCACCACAGTTTATACGTATTGGATTGAAAACCTCTGATTAACAATTTCACACACACAGCAACATCAGAAGCGATGAGTATGTACCCAAGCCACACGTGAGAACAGCTTTGCTAGCTCAT